TAGTCTTATTTCTACAAACTATTGTTGCTAGTGTGGATGTCCTCGTGTAATTTGAACACCTAGTTGAGCAGCTACACTACAAAAAAAATGACATATTGTGACACCCATATTTAATGATGTCTTGATTTTTGTCACCAAGTACTACTTTTACATACATCTATATTACTTTTACCTACAACTATATTTTATTTCATTAAATTTTTTGAACAGCTTTGTATTTTGAACAAATAATATTTAAATATAAATTATAAAATTATTATTTTTACTAAAAAAACACGAAACGCAACTTTTCTTTTCACTGTCAAAACTCAAAACTTAATTTTACTAATTACAAATTAAAAAAATAAAACTTTATTTTAATCACAAAATGTATTTTTCACATTCGTTTAAGATTCTCCCTCATCCACATTTATCGATATCTAATCTTTAAATCCAAACACGAAACCTTCCATTTTCACCGTTTTGAAACTATTTCATTTCCCTCAAATTTCAAACCCTAACATCGAAAATTCGCGCGCGATCTTCCTAATGTGTCAACAAATCAGTAAATTTTCATCTTCTTACTCTTCAGTACTTCAATCACTCTTACCTATTTTCAATTTTTCTCTGATTTCTCTCATTTCAATACACAATACTTTCACTTTCTAATCCCGTTCTCGTCACTGATTTTTGTTGTAATTTTCGTCACAGATTTTATATAGTTATCATTTTGTTTCATGAATTGTTTCAATATGTTTTTAATATTCGATTACTTTTATCTTACATGGATATTGGTTTATCAAAGATGGAAAACTAGGATTCTCTTTTTTGACAATCGATTGGAAGACATCAATTTCTTATCCATGATTTTATTACTAAGTAAGCTAAACAAAAAAACTATAATTAATCACGCAGCTATAACAAAAGAATAACTAATTACTTGTAGATAAGTCAGCAACTTCTGGAACCACACAGTGTAAGATTCTTGGAACGATCAGAATTTCACTCTTCGCAAGAGAAATCGGAGATGCAACAACGACGATGAAATCGGGCAGCAACTACACATAAAACGGAAAAGCAACCAATATTACAACCAAAACGATCATTTGAAACCAAACTATATAACACAAATTCATACTTTTTGTCCAACTCTAAACATACTGTAGTGCTAAATTTGTTAAAGGAGAATAATTTAAAAGTACATATCATAGAAAAATAATAAAAATAAAATTATCTCAAAAATAGAATTAAAAAAGAATTTCTTTTTATTTGTGAACATAATTGCTCAAACTTCTAAAACTTTTATTTTAAAATTAAACTAAATTATTTCAAGTGTCATACTAAAATTTCTCAAATATTACAATTTAATTCTGTTATTCTAAAATAACAAATGATTTTCTCACTATATTTCTTTTGTAAGGTAAAAATAGTATTCCAATGAAGTTTTCTATGCTTGACTTATTATAAGAATATTCTTATCCCTAAATACTATAGAAAAAAAATATTTTTAATAATAATAAAATCCGGCAGCAACTACACATCAACAATTAGGTTCACTAATTCCATTTCAAACATGTTTAAAACAAAATGAGTTTTGAGTGTATCTTGTAATATATTCATGAATCTTACTTTGTAAACTCCTAACATAAGATGCTGATATTTTAGAAAGCTAAACTATTGAATACCACAACTCACAACTTTATCTCTGGCCTAATAACAAAAGAAAAACAAAACAAACATCATTTCTTAGAAAATATTTTGTCAACTTCAGAAAACAAAGAAATCTTTCACATAATGATAACAGTTTATAAAAATAACTTGTATGAAAATAGATTAAGCATATTTAAGTTCTTGAAATTCAAACCAAAATGAAGAATCAAACCAAATATATGAGAAGAAACGCAGATTCAAACCTGAAAATTAAATTCTTTGATGAGAAGTATGTCAATCGAACCCTTGAAGTTATTTCCTGAAGCGATCCCTTGAAATTTCATGAAACAAATTGATACGAATCGATATGGTGATTAATGAATCGAAATGGAGAGCACAGTAGCAAGTGATGGAGAACAAGAGCAGCAGTAGTTAGCTTAAATCACAGTACGACCTTCAAACCCTGAATAGTAACAAAATCCCTCTTATCTCAGTCCGGTTCACGGATTTCGCAGCGAGGAGATAGTTATAACAAGAAAATCGGAAAAGAAAACAGAGTTACCTACAACGAGGAGATAGTTATAACAAGAAAATCGGAAAAGAAAACAGAGTTACCTACAACGAGGAGATTTGGATATTGTTGAGATTTTCGCCGGTTCATGATCTCCTCTCTCTTCTTCTACAAGAACAGCGATGGAGTTAAGCGAGTTACATAAATGTTTTGAGAGAATAACGAAAAAAATCTAAGTTTTAAGGTTTTTGTATTTTTAATTTAATTAGAAATTAGAAATTAATGACCTTAGACAGCACTTCTTGAAGCGCTTTCTGATGTATTTCCTTTAGCAACGCTTTTTCATTAAAAAGTGCTTTCTGATGTATGCCATATAACAACGCTTATGTAAATGCTTTCTAAACACATTCTTTAGCAGCGCTTTGTGGGTATGTTTGGTCTTAAGCAGCGCTTCTTACAAGCGCTTTCTAAAATAAGCCTTTAGCAGCGCTTTTTCTCAAAATTCTTTTAAAGCTATAGTAAAGCTTTCTAAAGTATGCCTTTAGCAACGCTTTTTCTCAAATTTCTTTTAAAGCTATAACAACATTTTGTGGGTATGTATGGTCTTAAGCAGTGCTTCCTACAAGCGCTTTCTAAATTAAGCCTTTAGCAGCATTTTTTCTCAAATTTCTTTTAAAGCTATAACAACGCTTTGTGGGTATGTATGGCCTTAAGCAGCGCTTTCAAAAGTAAGCCTTTAGCAGCGCTTTTTCTCAAATTTCTTTTAAAGCTATATCAGTGTTTTCTAAAGTAAGCCTTTAGCAGCGCTTTTTCTCAAATTTCTTTTAAAGCTATAACAGTGTTTTCTAAAGTAAGCCTTTCGCAGTACTTTAACTCAAATTTCTTTTAAAGCTATAGCAACGCTTTTGGAAGAAAGCGCTGTCTATAATGCGCTTTGAGCCTATGATAGTGCTTTCTACGGTTGGGCTTATAACAACTCTTTGTTTAGTGAACCTAAGGCAACGCTTTTTTTAACTTTAGACAGCGTTTTTTATAAAATGTTGTCTAATGTATACAATTTTAAAATTTAAAATTTTATCAGGATATTTAGCAGCGCTTTGGTTCAGAAGCGCTGTCTAAGGTGTGCTGCCTAATAGCAGTTTTGGCGTAGTGTATATTTATTTATTATTTATATTGACTTTGTGCGACCCATCCGAATGCACGAATCCTTTATTAGTTTAACTTAATTTAAGATTTCACTTTGAACTCTTATTTAATAAACATTACGTTTTAGTTTCTAAAAAATTATTTTTTTTAAATATCGACCATACAATTTGATTAAAAAATATCAAATAGTTGAACATTCAAAACTTATTGAATCTAACAATGCGCCTCTAAGGCTCTAACACCTAATATTTTTATATTTATTAATCTTCTTCCTTCTTCTTCTCTTCTTCCTTTTCTTTTCACCATTTTAAACACATTCATATCAAAACTCAGAAAATTTAAAATATAAACTCAAAATTTTAAACCACAAATCCAATGCTCATAAAACATAGATTTTCCACAGAAATCTTAACATAAAGACTCAAATCACGTCATTTCCAACTTCACAAATTTTACTGGACCTCACAAGACAACTTCCATATTCACCTTTTCTTCCAATTAGCGATGGTCGTTGTTCTCAATTTCTCACCACTGTGAAATCCTCTCCTTCCCTCACAACTATTCTCTCAATTTTGTCTCCACTTTTTTCTGCTTTCTTTTCTTATTTCGCTTTTGTTTTTAATTTCTTATTTTTATTTTCACAAATCTATTTTTATTAAGTCTTAAGTGGATGTAAATTTGTTAAATTAATATTTTAAATAAAATTATCATTTTCCAGTATCATAAGTTTTACTACTTAACCATATCACTTAGTATACGTAACTTAACATACATTATGGATAAGAAAATGAGAGTAAAAAATTACCAATGCGCAGCTTCAACAAACGCGAGAACGAAAAAGCGATTCTTGCTCCTCTTAAAAGTGCTTATCTAACTGCTTTTCAATCCGCGGCAGAGCATGGTGATTAATGGAACAAGCAAATGAGGATGAAGTTAAGAGAAACGAAAGATACGTGAAGATAATGCCGACGCGGATTCATGATGGAATTCGGTACGTGCGTTTTTTCCAGTGAATTTCAGTTTCAATCTTCTTCATCTCTCTTCTTTGGTTGCTGCTGTGTGATTGTTGTTCAATTATGGTTTACGTATAGTGTTAAATTATTAACGAATTTGTCGTTTCATAACTTGCACACCAAGTGTTCGGTGAAATGCTTGAACTAAATTATTTCTCTTTTTTGTTTGATTTCTGCTGCGGAATTGTTGTTGTGTTGATATTCATTGTTGTAGCAGGTTGTGGTTGGCGAATTGATGGAGAATTGTTGCTTCGACAGCTGTTTCAGTGGCAGTAGCTGCAACTTTTGTTGGTGCAGCAGTTACTCTTCTTGTAAAGAGATCCAAAACTTCCGAGTCTACACTGGTAAGTAACCCATCTTTATTGTTTGTAGCGGTAATATAATTATTATTAGCAAACTCAGCAATATCAGATTCTGTTTCGCACAAACACTTCAGATTGAAGACGTTTTCAATGTCCAACACCGACACGACAGAACCACATGCAGTTTATTTTGTGCTCCACTTTATTAGTAGTCACAATACTTTTACAATTGCCCCTCGGTCCATTTGGTTGGAAATGCATTGAGAAAACTAAATTGTCTATGGTTTAGAATTGCTACAATGATGACCTACCTTTATAGAATTTTAATTTATTATCATAGAATAATGAGAATTTGTTTGTTGTGGCTTCATAGACTTAAAGAATTTAATGTTACTCTAGATGAATTTAATGTTACGCTATGGACCTGCTAGTGGTTCAAGTTTCATTGCAAGAGACATGACATTTGGTGCAGCTACTATATGGACCTCCGAAGCAGTGGCCCTCTGTGTCGCATCCTATCAGTGGTATACCCTTGCAACATCATCATATATAAGACACAGTGGTATATTATCAAATTTCTTTTCAGGTACTCTTGAATCCAGCCCCTGCATATCTGTTGAGATAAAGGTATGTTCTCAAAATTTCATACATTAATACTCTTTGATAGCCAATAGTTATATTTTACCAAATCCGACAATGACCTACCTTAAGCTTTGAAATTTTAAATGAATTATCTAGTATGTTTCCACTTACCCCATTGTTTGCTTGTTTGTAAAATCTTAAGTATTATTTTGAACAGGCAGCCCAAATGTGGATTTCTTCCTGTTTCAAGATTTTATGGAGCACTGGAATGTTTTTTTTCTTTCAATTACTTGATTTGTTCTGTAATTTTGTGAAATTTCTTACTTGTTTGTTGTTGAATTCTGCAGTCGAAAATTGATGGATGAGATCAAGGACTTGGTACATCGTCATCCAGATAAGCTTTATGTGAGTAGTCAATAATGTATTTCTAGCTACTACCAATGAGCTGAATTTTTAACTCAACTAAAACTAATTCGATTGTTATGTTGGTGCAGGAGAATAAAATCTTGAAATTTTGTTAGTTTTATGTGGAATCAGCAACTTTGGTGGCAACGCCCTTGCCAATGACAGGGTCAGTACAAAACTTAATCTCCAACATTATTATTTCATTTTAAATTACTTCTTCATCCTTAATTATTCGAGAGGTCGGTCTTTTCAGGGAGGAGGGTTCTGATTGACAAGACTTTGTGAGGATTGTATGCTTACTGGTAATAAACTCAACTATTAGTTCCTAGAACAAGGGTCACCACCTTCTTACCTACATTCTTTCCCAAGTTGATTAAGATTCCTTCATTACATATATAAATAACATGAATGAGTGATCACTCCAGTTCAGTTTCTAAGAGATGGTCAGTGGCAAGAAGATGATGCGACTATTTTAGTATCTGGTGAAATAATCAGCATAATGCTAAGAGATATCATTCCAGCCGATGCTCGCTTGCTCCAAGGAGACCCTCTCAAAATTGACCAGGCAAGTCTTCATTTCTTCAGGTGCAATAAACTGTAAATAACTGACACTACTACGAAAATGGGCTTTCACAGCGCTTTTTTTTGCCCTTTAAAAGCGCTGCCGTTGCCAGCGCTGGCGTAGGCTACGAAAGCGCTTTTTTCTGGTCAAAAGCGCTGTCGTAGGTGGACCTATCCCAGCGCTTTTTCCTTAAAAAGCGCTTTGATAGGGGGTCTTTCCCAGCGCTTTTTTAAAAGCGCTTTGATAGGTGTGCTATTTAAATTTTTTATTTATTTATCAGGCCTTTTACAGCGCTTTTTATGGAAAAAGCGCTTTGATAGGGGGGTCTTTCCCAGCGCTTTTTCCATAAAAAGCGCTTTGATAGGGGTTCTATTTAATTTTTGTTTTTTTATTTATCATGGCTTTTACAGCGCTTTTTATGGAAAAAGCGCTTTGATAGGGGGGTCTTTCACAGCGCTTTTTCCATAAAAAGCGCTTTGATAGGGGGTTTCTATTTAATTTTTTTTTTTATTTATCCTGCCTACGAAAGCGCTTTTTAGCCAAAAACGCTTTCGTAGCTCATACAAATTTTTTAAAGTGAAACCTGTAATTTGAGGTTCCCTGTGCGGCCTGTAATTTTTTTTTGGTCCAATAATTTAACCTGTAATTCAATCCTTATCTATACATATATTTTAAGAAATCGGTATTATATTAACAGAAACCGGTATACCATATAATATTCAATCCTTATCTATATATATGTAACTAAATCATATATAACTAAATTTGTAACCATATATACATTTGTAACCATAACTAAATCACATACAAAGTATCGTGTTAATTTGTAACCATATATATATACATATGTAACTAAATCATATATAATTACATCGAAAATAATGCTCCACCGACACGGTCGTCATCCTGCAAAGTATGAATATGAACAACACGGTAAATTAAACAAACAATATTAAAGGCTCCAACACAATCAAACTAACACGTACAATAATATTTTATTCATACCCATCAGAATAATCTGTTTTCAACATAAAATTGACATATTTCCTCTTTGACTTCTTCCACTTGAACTTTCGTGTACGACATAGTATAGAGGTCATCAAAGTACTACATAAGAAATTATTACTTCAGTATATGCATGATGTTATTAAATGTAGAAATCATACAAAATTATTCTAAGTTATAAATCCATACCGTGCTTGGAATCTCTACTTGATTTTTATGAAGGATTTCTTTCATAAACCTCAAGCAAAAGTATCCGCAATCTACATCGTTATTCTGTAACGGACACTGCATAGAAAAACAGAATATATTTTATAGTTGTCGTGTAATTTTATCAAGTAACATAACTATTATTATAAGCAACTAATTTTGTACTTGCACTTTGATCCAAGTAATATTTGATGATTTACTCCGGGGTACCTGTGCGTCCCTTTGACTACGAAATATTTGTATTGATCTAAGAAAATAAAAACATATATTTAGATCAATCTCACAAAAATAATTAAATATATAAATATACACGAATAGTTAGAACGATCTCACTTACTGATCAACAGTTTCCTTCATAGCGGGATAGTTAGTCCATTCCCCGTCTACCGAATTCAGAAAGTACACAACTTCTTTAATCGGATCGATAGCCAACAACAACCAGTGTTTTCTAAAAATTTAAGCAACAGTTTAGAAGAAAAGTTTCTACGCAAAATAAACAAAGATATATTAGAATAAATGAAAAACTCACCCCACTGGAACAGTGTTATACGGCAAAATAAACAAGCTATCTGGGTTGCCGACGTAGGCCGTGTATCGATTCACTAAGTACTCCCTAACTGAACCCGGTTCCCTGACAATTGTCGCTCCGCTGACAATATAGGCAGACAAGAAATGGAAGCGTCTTGCCAATACAGTCTCGCGCATTTTTTTATCGTACAACAACCTTAAATAAAAATATATAAACATTAGACTATTTTCATTGAAATGTGTAAATAAATTGTTCAACTAATTAAATGATATATTTATCGGAATACCGGATGTATGCGTGAACATTGCCGATGCCTAATTCACCATGCGTCATAATCTCAGTCATTTCGTCCATTCCTATCGTTTCTTGGCAGTCAAGACCAAAGATATCTGCATCCATAAGGATTGTACGAATACCACCTGACTTCAAATCTGAGGTTTCCAAAAGTACTCCAAGTGTATTCCGATATCGAGGTACAAAAATGCCTCTTCCCCCGCCTCTTCCCCCTTATGCATTGACTTTTTCGGGGGTGGTCTGCTACGAACAGGCTGGGTCACTTGTTGTGACACTTTCGTAGATACCTAACAATCATATAACTTAGGTAAATTATAAAATCGTTCAGTTTTAAATTCATATCATATAATAAACAATTTAAGTGTACCTCTGGAATTGATGCCATAGACTCGCCGCCTTGCTGCAAAATCTCCTTACCCTTATTAGCGGGTTTTGTAGGAGGCTAATATTAAAAAATAATTAACTTAACGGTTCAGAATTGACATTTGAAATCTAAATGATTCATATTAACGGTTTTAAACATACCTCATCATCAATGAAAATGAGGTCCAAGGGCCATGCAACAAACGACCCTACTGCGTCTCGCACCGATCTTATATCCAAGGCCACGTCAGGTACCGGTACCAACGCATCGGGATCAATAGGATAATCTACTGATACTCTCAGGTGTCCAGCCGGGATCGGTGTATTATGAATTAAATCTCCCAAAGTGTTGTACACTTTTCCCTTGCCAACAAGGTGATAATCTGATGCCATTACGTATAGTTGGCAAGATGAAATGCCCTAAACCAATATGCATACATATTACTTTTAATTCAATAATAGAAAGAGGTGGAATAAAAATGAGAAACTTGAACAATAGAGATTTATCAATATATTTATAATTACCTCAGGAAATTTATTCTGACGGTTAATACTAGCGTTGTCACTAGTTTCTTTCGCCATTGCCGCATTGCCCTTTTCCCTCATTAATACCTCTTTATCTCTTTCCAATGCATTGACTTTTGCTTGTAATTCCATAAGTACATTCATCACTTCTGCATTGGTAGGATTTCTTTTCCGATGATGCTGGTAGAAAGAGGTTGGAGTCACACCATGACCTTTACCCCTCACCCGACCGAAATACTCAGGAACATTCAGTGCTTTACTAAGTACGCTCCTCGTATCCTGGTCGTCACCGGTGGACTCCGTTTGTGACAATGTCTCCTGAAAATAATGGAGATAAAAAAATCAATTAAATAGTCATAAAAATTTGATTTAATTAAAGACACAATGTTATACTTACGCATTCATCATAAATTCTTAGAACACTTGGATCAACAGCTTGATTCTTGCCCACACGAGCTTCCTTCCACAGCAAATGTGCTGGAAGTGAGGTTTCATCACTTTTCGTCTCCTCTAACTATGCATAGAAACAAACGGTTAGATCGTCAAATACAACACATTTAGACAATTAATAAGAACATATCATTTCTATTTATTACTTACAATTTTTTCCTCTAAGCGTGCATATCCCAAACGCCCTTTTTTGTATGATTACGCGGGCTTTGATGCTCTCTCACTATTTTTGGCACTCTTTTGACTCTTTTCATTAAACAAGAAGATTGGACTGAGTTTATTAGACAAAGAGATGACGAATTCCGGCAAAAGAGTGCCAAAAATAGTGAGAGAGCATCAATACAAAAAAGGGCGTTTGGGATATGCACGCTTAGAGGAAAAAATTGTAAGTAATAAATAGAAATGATATGTTCTTATTAATTGTCTAAATGTGTTGTATTTGACGATCTAACCGTTTGTTTCTATGCATAGTTAGAGGAGACGAAAAGTGATGAAACCTCACTTCCAGCACATTTGCTGTGGAAGGAAGCTCGTGTGGGCAAGAATCAAGCTGTTGATCCAAGTGTTCTAAGAATTTATGATGAATGCGTAAGTATAACATTGTGTCTTTAATTAAATCAAATTTTTATGACTATTTAATTGATTTTTTTATCTCCATTATTTTCAGGAGACATTGTCACAAACGGAGTCCACCGGTGACGACCAGGATACGAGGAGCGTACTTAGTAAAGC